CCTCCGGGAGCCATGGTCAGAGGAAGCAAGGGGTGTACACAGCTGGCCGGGAGGCCCCTATTCATACAGCTTGTAGAAGGTTCTATATTTCCTTTAGCAACCCAGACGGAGGTCCCCAAGGCCGAATTCAGCCCCTGGACAATGCTGTCAAAGCTGAATACTGTGAGCCATTTAGCAGGGCAGGGCAACTGTGGCCATTTCTTTCTTTCCAGAGTGGGATTCTCTTTGATGGCTCATATAAAAGGCAAGGCAGTGTGGTTTAATCTCAAGTCCACAGTGTCACTTTAAATACGAGCTCACAAATAAAAACTGATTGTAGATCCATTTTCTCAAAGCAAATGATTTGTGCGGTCTACAAAGAAGCACGTTTTGTAAATGGGTTTATTTATTAATTGGCAAAATGAACGAAGTGTATGGAGCTCCTTCCTCCAGCAGCAGTACTCAGGAAGTGAGGCCACTGGGGAGCGTGTACTCTCTGTGCAGAGTTTGCCTGAGTTCTTATTGCCTGATTTGGAAAACTGTGGAAGAGGAAAGAGGATCTGAAAGAAGAATTAATTCTAGAGAAAAGGGGTTGAGTTTAAAGGTACAGTCAGGGAAGACAATGCTCAGGCCAGCGTCAGGCTAGGCGCCCTGAGCTCTTGAGCATGATTCTGAGATCACCACCTAGAGAGATTCTGCAAGGACAATCATTTTAACTACACTCGCATACACATGCATGCATGTGCACACTCAAACCTACATTGAAGAATAATTCTGTTACACACGTTGAGAGGAATTTTTATAGTTACCTTGTATTTGCTTGTTTTGTACTTATTTGTAGTTGAGTCCCACAACATTCCATGTTGTTTCAGTCCCTCAAAATCCTACTCAAAACCCTTTTCTCTGAAATATGGTAGATTTCATGAAAGCGATGGGTTAGCCCATCCTGCTGAGTCTCTAACGTGTGCACATAAACACCCACACCACTGCTTTGCTCTCAGCCCTGCAACACTGACTGCTCCTTTTGACCCTGGAGTCCAGCCACTTTGGATTCCTGGCTCCCTCACAGTCACCCTGCTCCCACCTACCGCAGGGCCCTGCATCTACTTAGGATCCTTTCTATGTCCTACTTGCTTAAACTTTAGTTTAAAGGTCCAACTATCATGCAGGACTTCTCTGACCTCCAGTGTCCACCAAATTCCCTTTTGTGTTTTCCCTGATACTTACCACATTTTTTTTTTTAAGATTTATTTATTCGTACAGAACTGGGGTACAGGCCAGAGATGCGGAGGGTGAGAGGATTCACCAGAGACAGAGTGGGGAGCAGAACAGGCAGATCGAGGAAGTACACTGCTGAGGGGAGCAGCGGGCGGGTCAGGAGAGGTCTGCCACACCATGTGGTCGCCTCCGGGGCAGGCGGGAATCGAACTCATGCGGAGGTGGCTTTAGCTTCTCAGTGCAGTGCTTTAACCCGCTGCGCCACCAGGGAGGGCCCAACTTACCACATTTTTAAAAAAAGATTTATTTATGCATGCATGCAAGTACTGGGGTACAGGCCAGAGATGTGGGTGGGTGAGAGGATTCACCAAAGACAGAGTGTGGAGCAGAACAGGCAGATTGACTGAAATACACTGCTGAGGGGAGCAGCAGGTGGGTCAGGAGAGGTCACCCTCCTGCCACCCCATGTGGGTCACCTCCCTGGCCAGGAATCGAACTCATGCTGCAGTGGTTTTTGATAGCTTCATCGTGCTGTGCTTTAACCCAATGCACCACTGGGAGGACCCCACATATTTTAGTTTATATTTATTTATGTTGCTTGCATGATGACTACTTCTCCCAATTGTCAGCAGACTCCATGACAGTAGGAACCAGACCCACCAGTGTGAGTGGTACATGGTCCCCAGCTGTCACAGAGTACTTTAGATCCTGGATGAGAATGGGAAAGAGAGAAGGAGGACAGGAGGGAGAGAGCAGAGTGGACAGTGGGAGCAGATTATGGGTACTTGGGTGGTGGGTGTGCCATATAGTGACTACATCTGAAGGGGTTGGGAATATACTATACTTAGAAAATACTAACAGAGATGTAAACCATGGGTACTTTAATTAAAAATTTTAAAAGCCTAAGTTAAAACCCTAAAATAAACAATGCATTGCTCTTTAAAAAAAAATACCCTGGATGACTGAGGAACTATGATTTAGCTATCATTTTACCTCCATTGGGTAAGAAACAGGGGAATCTTTTCCCTGAAGACATTTTCCCTGGCCCCTCTTCTCAGGCTATGGAAAGTTAAAGACCCAATTCAGAAGCAGAATATAAACTATGTGTACTTGTGGCATTGCATAACTATAGTATATGAGTCAGCTAATTTTGTACAGACCCAGACCACTAACCATCACCTTTCAAAAGATTCTTCCAATGTAGAATTTATATATAGTGGGCAGCAGAGAGTTAAAAGAAAAAAAAAAATCTAGCTCTGGCCCCAGTTGGCAAATTTTGTTGCATAACTCCAGTTCCAAGCCTAGCAAGTTTTCAGCAACTGGAAGAAAGCTTTGAAATAGTAAACAGGAAAATAGAATAGACAGAGGGTGTCTTTGACTTTCCCAAATAAAGACAGTTTCCAAATGGCACTAGTGAAAAAAAATGTTCCCTAACAAACAGAAAGTACAGCTTTTAGCAGAGTATTCCACCATGTCCAGCATGTTGACTTGAGAACTCTGTGATATAGTAGTCTGATGGAGCCCACAATGATCATTAAATCAAACTCTTTAGAGTGTCTTTATGTTAGTATAGCTAGAACATCTTGGAGGGGAGAGGAAGAGCCCTATGAAAAGAAACATATAACTAGCAAAATAACTGCTTCAAAATCCTCCATCCTGTTTGTGTGACATAATTACTTAGGGACATTGTTAAACTGAACACTAGTCAAGGTTACATCACAGATCAGTAGAATTCTGTCTCTGGAGGTTGGAACCCAGGCAGCTCTGATGTGTATCTAAGTGGAGGACTCCTTTCCTAGGTCTTTATTGTCTTACTCTCTACATTTCTGTCTCATGTAAAGCTTCCCCTCACTTTTAGAGCTCCAAAACAGTAAAATTCTTTCTTACAGGGGTCCCAGCTCTTACATGACTGATGCTGAAGCCAATGACTATTAGAACAATATGCCCTCAAAGCACCTTTGAAGGATTCTCTAGTCACTAGGAATGCTCACTTCTTGCCACTTTATTTCTCTAGCCTGAATGTCTACAATTGCTTTGCTCCTCAAAAAGCAGTTTACAGAGTAGTACCATCAACATTAACTTGAAATTTTTAGAAATGAGGATTCAGGGGCCTTAGCCGAACCCACCCATATCATACCCATCTTTTACCAAATTCCCAGTGTTTCACATGCATATGAGAGGATGAGAAGCCATGCTCTGGAAAAATGCCCCTCAGCTCTTGAAAATCTGGGTCATTTCTTGAGATTTCCCTGTCCCTTTCACTTCTTTTCACTATGTATCTAGTTTCTTAGAATCAAACTATTTCAAACTCACAAGATGTTAGAGATGGACTGCATGACAGAGCTGCATCAATCCAGTCTTTTCATGTACTAGATGAAAAAAACTGATATTACACAGTTAAATCTATATACTTTGGAAAGAGATGGTCAGAACAAGCATAATTATCATGGCTTATTTACTTTGGGAATACATAATCTGTATTTCAAACTTTATTAAGCTTTACAGATTAATAATGAATTTTTTTAAACTCTGAAAATCCATATTTATGTTTTAATAGAAACACTCTTGATCCCCAGCTCATAATCTCACATTTACATTCAAACATGGAATTGGGTTATCCGGTTATGTAGTAAGAGAACACTGAGATTCCAACAGTAAACCCAGCATACTGTTGAAATGTCTCCAAGACAACCACAACACACACACACACACACACACACACACACACACATGTGCACATTTCAGGCTCACTCTGCCTTTCACACTCTGCCTTTCTCTGCCTTTAATAACATCACCACTTAGGGGGCTGTGATTCCTGGCACAATATGGCAACTCCACTTTTATTACAAATTGACAAAAACATGCCAGTAAGCTCTTAGACCTTGGTTGAAAGCTGCTATTCTAATATTCACAAAGACTAATTTCAAGGTCTGGATTATTTTCAGAGAGATATTCCCAAACTTTAATAACCAGGAAGATTATTGAAACAGATTGTCAAGTCTCCTCTGAGTGTCTGTGATTCTTCATGTCAAGAGTCTGAGAATTAGCATTCTAACAAGTTTCATTCAATGCTGAACCTGCTTTTGGAGGACATATTTCAAGAAATCACTGCTCTGGGCCCCTCTTCTTTCAGATTGGCCCATACAAAGTCAGTCTAGACTTCTCAAAATTTGTATTAAAAATGAATTTTCATCTTCAGAGAAACAATTATACCTCCTGTTTCCTGAGCCACTAAATCATAGGTAGGCTCTGAGGCACCACTACTCTGTCTGGGGGAAAAAAACACACCACTGGCTTAGTTAATCACCAAGTTCCCTGCTCCTTCCATCCTATCGGTCTGATCTTCTCTCTTTTCTGCTGGTCAAACTGACTCGCATTCTTTCCCTTCTATCCTTGTCATTTCATTTCTAACTAATGTCAAGGTGAGCCTTAAATCTCATTTTGTTCCACTCTACCTCAAAGACTCCCATACCACCTTGCATTTTGCTTGTCACATCCAGATACATACAGGTCTTCATCCACAGAAACTTCACACTGATGTCTCCTTTCTCTTACGCAGTCTATCAACTGTGTGTATTCAAACCCTATCCAAATCCTGTCCATCTTGAGTTCACCTCTAAATCATAGGATGAAACTTTCTAAGTTCTACCAATGTCTGAGCATATTTTCTAAGATCTAGCACCAGATAACTACCCAGATCCCACTATTTGTTGAATGGATTGTTTCTAAATATAGTTAGAAAAGTTATAATTCTTGATCAAAGAGAAGATAGCATATACAAATAAAATTGGTTCAAAACTTACCTTGAATGAACCAGTACATCTGAAATCCTTTCTCATTGTGACCAACCCCATCAGTATGAAATAGCACTTGAAGCTTGGAGCCTGTAGTACCCCCTGAGGGGGGCAGATCATTTCCACAGTAGCGCCCCATTATCTGTGGACCATCATAGAGCTGAAATCAAAGAGAAAGTTCAAAATGTAAAAAATGTAAAATAAAAGTTCACATGGTTTGTCAGATGTAAAAAGCAACATCTACTCATATACTGAAAGCTATTCCTGAGTTCAAATATCAAGGGTAAATCTGTTAAGGTGGGTTGATGAGGAGGCTTAAAATAAAAAATTTAAGTAAATAATTACACAGAACTTAAGGGATAGATATGATTCCTAAGGTCAATAAATCTGAAAGTCGAAATACTAGCACGGTCCTCTCAAAAGTAGAATCTAGGCACAGAACAAGGATATAATGAACAAAATGAGATGTCGTCACATATTAATGACCCATAAGAGATGCTTAATGAATTATAAATAAGACATTTTAGACAGCTACAAAAAAGGAAAATATAAAAATTAACCTAATTGATGATAATCACTGTTAAAAGTTTGTTAATACCAGAAGTTTCTCTTGCTAACATTTCCTTTCTTTGTTTGATACAGGTTTGTGTATAAATTTGAGCTATAAATTTAAGTGTATGCCTTGCTTTTCAATAAGCATGGCAATAAACAGTCACATGTTATATGTGTAAGCTTTTCAGTGGGGACAGTAAGTGCTATTAATTCATTTTATTTGCACTACACTTTTGTTGTTCATTTAGAATATGTCTGACTTCTTATCAACATAATATTTCTTTGATATTTTAAATTTACCTCAGAAAAGTTTTCTATAATTAAGAATAGAACATTTTATGAATACGTGTGTGTGTGTATAGTTAAATTTCTTACCAGAAAGTTTATATCACTTTATCCTCCCACCAAAAGTTTATATAAATGTTTCTTACAGTAGAGACTTTGCAATTACAGCTATTATTTAAAAACTGCTGGAGGGAGTTGTTGTTTTAACTCATGTTACTTTGAGGTTGAAGCTTTTCTTCCCCATCATTATTGGGCATATATATGCCTTCTCTTCGGACTTTTATGCTGAGGTCTTTCTTTGCCCATTTTCTCACTGAGATATTTTATCTATTATATTTTTTAATTTCATCAGATTCATAAATCCAAACTTTAAAAAACCTTGCTACCTCTGTTCAATCAGGAACAATAATTATAGTCTGAAAAGATTGGTTCTGCCTCATAACTTGGGCTATTATTTTTTCCTCTTAAACTTCAAATATACATTAAATACTTTGTTTCAGTTATCTTTGGGGTAAGTTACCCATGACAATAAAATGGAAACGTTTGATCAAAGATTCATTAACAGGCCCTCCCTGGTGGCGCAGCGGGGTGGCGCAGCGGGTTAAAGCACAGCACTGAGAATCTAAAGCTGCTTCCACGAGTTGGATTCCTGCCTGTCCCAGAGGTGGCCACATGGCATGGCAGACCTCTCCTGACCCGCCCACTGCTCCCCTCAGCAGTGTACTTCGTCCATCTGCATGTTCTGCTCCCCACTCTGTCTCTGGTGAAGCCTCTCACTGCCCCTGAGCCTCTGGCCTGTACCCCAGTTCTATATGCACAAATAAATAAATCTTAAAAAACATTCTTGGCTATTCTTGTAGAGAGTACACATATGTAAGAGCATCTGTGTACATTGCATGTGACTATAGGTAAGTATATAATCTTGATGCAACAAAATTCTCAACCAACCAAATTATTTTTATTCACTGAAATGTGGTATAGTTCACTGAAGTGTTGTTTGAAACATACTGATTTAAGTTTAGAGAACTTTATAATCAAATTCTACAAAACCACCTCCAATGCTATTTTCCCTAATCCCTATAAACACTCATAAATTTGTTTTCTTTTAAATCCCCTCATTTTTAATTTATGCTTCTTTTGTAGAAATGGTCACATTCCTGCACACTCTAGTTATAAGCATGTGTGTCTTATCTCTCTTTGTGGTTATGAGCTTCTTTAGAGGCCAGATTGCCTCTCTCAGCCCAGGGCACAGTTTGGACAAGAACAGGTTTCCATTACATCTTTAGTAAACAGACACAAATATCACCTCCCCACAAAGCATTTATTTTAATGAGAATTAGTCTCCACTATTACTTGAAATCTACATAGATGGGTAAGTATTAAGTTCCCACAGTCTTAAGGTTCTGCAAGCTCCTTCCAGGCAGCAAAGTGCCTGAATCTTTTGTGGCCCCTCTGTAAATAGGGCATCAGGCAAGACCTTACTGAAGGTCAGAAACCTGTTGTTAAAGCCTCAGCTCTGTATCCTTCAGTTCTCAAAGTTGGCTTACTCACCTGATAGATATGCTTGTGAGATTTGGGAAGAAGTGAGCAAAGATTAAAAAGAGAACCTCTGAAGTCCATTATCACTGATCCTGAAGTATTAAACCTCAGCATTTTCAGCAAATGAATAAAGATGAGGTTTACTCTTTAGGCCTATTAGTTCAGCTTCCTTTATATCTTTTTAATCCTGCTGTTCAAATGTGTATATTTATCATCAAGTTTCTAATATTCTAGATATTTGACAGAGAAAAAGAGAGAAAGAATAAAGCAATATAAAAAGAGGGAAATACAACCAAAATCCTTCCCCTCCAAGCTCAGGTCCACAAGCCAGAGCAGAGGGGAGGCTGCTTCAGGGAAGAGGCCCAGTTCCAATCTGTTCACCACTAAATGACTGCTTCACTGTCAGAAATTGATCTCAGCTTCAGCATTTTTATTAAATCTAGCATATTAATTCCATTTCAAAACTAATTAATACAAAATAAACATGCTGTTCCCAAGCAGAGGCATAATAAGCAAGAAAAATACTCCCCTTGTTTTCAACCCCAAAAGGCTCATTTTAAACTTTGTAGTTCAGTGACCAGAACTTTAATTATTTCAACTTAAGCAGCAAAACATGAGGTAAGATTTCTCCATAGCTTGCACTCTATGTTTGATTGATCTTTTTTTTGACAATGTCAAACAGATTTTATGTAATGAAGACATTATTAGGAAAGAAACTCATTAGTCTTTTTAAAATTTTTATACATATTTTTTCACATCATTCTTCATTTTGCACATTTTTTCATCTTAGATGTAATCCCCATGGATTTCCTTCCAGCACTTTGATAGATTTTATGAAATACTGGACAGTGAGATTTTGAGGAAGCTTGCTTTAGTCTATGCAAGGTCATAATTATGATAGTGCTTTTTGCCTCTTAATATGCAAGGATAAGACCTGACATTTTCACATGACTTGGAGGGAATTTTATTTTCTTTTTTTCCGGATGGGATTACCTCATTCAAAGAGAGCCCCTGAATCCCAGTGGTTCTTAAATAGCATTATGGATGGGAAGGGGGGCAGGGGCAAAGGGAAGCAGTTTGGTAGGGGGGGAAGACTGATGAATGACAATTACTTTCTCTTTGCCTTCGGAGAGAACAATGCAATGAAATAAACATCAAATAGACGTTGATGAAACTGCCTAAATATAATGTCAAATAAATTAATGAATTAATTAGTGGAGAACAGAACCTTTATATGCAGAAAAGTGCCATGCCCTTAATTTTATGTCTCTCTAAAGTTTACACTTAATTAAATCAGGACTTTTTGTTTATATGCACAAAGATGGATAACGTCACCTCCACAATTCATTCCCGCGTAAATTTACCACACAAAAAGGAACAGTCATTTTTCAAAGTATACAAATACTGGTCACCATGGAAACCTGTTAGTGCCTGCTGCTTCTGATTCTGTTTTCAGAGCAAAATGTTAACCACAGGACATTCCAGCTGTGACTCACTGCCACTGCTGGCAAGCATGCTGGCTTGGTTGTGGTAAGGATATGCAGGATTTCCCCTGCTTTTACAAAATCTACAGATCTACCCAGTATGACCAATCTTCCAGGTTAGGATTAGGTCCATATATAGGAAGCTAGTAGAAATTAAGAAAATAAAGATTGAGAGTCTTACTTGAGTATGCAAATCTAAGTTGTAAAGTTGTGGTTTCTTTATTTTAAATATTTGAAGCAATGCTTGTAATTTCAAGTTGGCCCTTAAATGTACCTCTGAATGTGAATGTCTACAAATAAAAATGTTCTCATGTTGAACCCTTTTAGTTATCCTCTTAAGGAGTCTACTGGTTTGGTATTTTTGTGATTTAAATCCATCCCACCCCAAACCACCTTAAAATATCTCAACCACTCTTGGGGGAAAAAAGGAAGGAAATCTCTTGCCTAAGCCACATTCTATCTACTTCCTTCATATGGGTTTGGTAACTTGGCACATACATAGTTATTAGACCACTAACTTCAGACTCCAGTTGCATGATGAAGTGGTTCATATACTTCTTCTAAATAATAAGGACCCACACATAAATGTAGAAGCTATAACTGATACAGTCTAATTTTGATTTTTTTCTTAAGGTTTTATAATTTAAATTTTTTTGATCAAAGGTAATTTAGAAATCATTCTAAGTGAGCAAATGCCAGACTCAGATAATATGTACTTCAACCTTTTCCCTCCTGGGAATGCACTTTGTAAGCTACAAGAAATCTCAGAGCAGATATGTGCTTTTGCAGTCCTCTCTGTTGCTAAATTGTTTTACTACTTTGAAAATCACTAACTGTAAGAATAAAAACTAGAATTGTCTCATATATGTGCATATGGAATGTACTAATTGACTTTTGTTTCTAACTTCATTTTAGTGTCACAGTTAGTGGCAATTACCACTCAGCCCTCCCTATTTTAGACTGGTATCTAATTCAGAAATGTCCTAAGTATGCATTTTCCTGGAAGAAATTTCCTTTTTTAGGGTGAGGAATTAATTTTAACAATGAAGTCTATACAATTAATGTAGAGAAATTAAAGCAAGATGATATCATTAATATATGGAAAAATTTCAGTATGGGGGAAGGGCTTATTTTCTATTACAAATATTTGAAAACTCCAAATAAACATCAGCTTTTAAACTTTATATGTAATTTAAATAATGCATCTGCCATGAGGAAGAATTCTAGGTATAATAGAAATCACCCTTTGTAGAGAACAAAAACTCATCAGTATAAAGAAGATAGAGTTCTGAGAACCATG